GCAATATTACCAGTCATATGATGAGAGGCACCACTATCGATAAGCCACTCACGGGAAGAGGTGTCTCCGCTACTGCCGGCGTCCTTCTCAGAAGAGGGAGTATCCAGCATGGAAAGTAGACGTGTCATCTGATCAGGTGTGAGCCCCAAAGCATTGGAACTCGTAGCCGCATGTGCTCCCCCTGTCGCGGCTCCACTCCCACGGCCAGGCGCACGCACAGTAGCGCCACCACCGCCTGGCGTTGTACGGCCACCGCCACGACCCCCGCGACCCGATGGAATGCCGCGGCCACGGCCTTTCCCAGGGGGGTACCCGTGGATTTGGTAGCAACGATCCACCGAGTGACCATCTTTGCCACAATGAGTACATGAGTAGTGGGGTGGGTTGCCACGATTCACAGTCGAAGGAGAACGTTGCATGGAAAAAGCGACTGCGTCCGTGCGGTCATCGCGGCTTCGAACAATGCTTTTATGGCGTTCCTCTTTGACAACCAATGCATAGGCACGATGGAGATCTGGAACAGGTTCCGTGGCGATAATCTGAGACCGGATGTGGCCAAATTGTTCGTCGTCGAGGCCAAGCAAAAAATGGTGGGTTTTCTCTTGTTCTTCACGCGCACGGATCAAGACCGCTGCCTCACAACGGCAACCGCACGTTGGGTCCACAGATCCGTACAGCTTGTTCCACAGGTCACAAATTGGTTGTAGTAGCCAACCACAGTTTGACCCTTTTGACGTAGAGATTGGAACTCAGATTTTAATTGATGAACCCGAGGACCATTCGAACCCCCATAACGGGTTTTGAGATCCAACCACAATTCATGAGCCACTTTATGAGAGATAATAGATGGTTGAATATGCTCATCAACTCTATTGCAAATCCACGAACAAATAATAGAATTATTAGCTTTCCAAGCGGCAAGTTCCTGTTCATCGGTGGGTTTGGGAAATCCTGAAGGAAAAAGAAAACCGGCGCGACTGCGCCCCTCAAGGGCGTTGACGATTGTTTTCTCCCAAACGTCATAATTGTCTCCCTTGAGAAGATGCTTTGTCAACGAGTTACCCGCACTCTCGGACGGATGGATGTAGTAGGGAGAGGTGGGATCGTGAATAAGCCGTACCTTTTTGGGAGTTTCGGCTGTCATGGCGGCGGAAGAAAAGCAGTAACCGACGTGAGCCGGTGTAAGAGGATCGCCGACGTGAGGCGGCGAGAATTTGACCGACGTGAGCCGGCGGCAGAGACGACCGTCGTGAGGCGGTCGGTGCAATTACGGTGGCGGCACCGTGAAAAGAGGCGAGCCTAGGGTTTTGGCTATTCCCAGGGAATTGGCTCTGATACCATGTAGAATTTTGTGAAAGACTGAATTGATTTCCATTGAGTATTCACAAGGTATATATACAAGCAAGTTTCCTAATACAACTATGGTAAGGATCCTAATACAATTATGGTAAGGATTACTTACAAGGAAATAAATACATACAAGGAAATAAATAAATAAATATACGCTAACAATTTCCTTCATTTCATTAAATCTACATATTCTGTTGGTGATTTCTTATTGATTTGATTTTTCCTCGAATTGATAGGGTTCTTCATTATTTACATATACTATTACGTATTTAACTCGTGCCACGCACGGGGTCGAACACATGTTATTTTTAACTCTGCTAATTTTTTGTTTTAAGTAAATAATAAAAAAATAAGTGTAAATTTATTTTTTTACTCTTCTATGTCGAAGTACATCTTTTCGGCATGCTCTTGCATTTTTGGACAAAGCCCATTCATTGTTTTTCTGACTTTGCCCAACTGTAATCCAAATTTTGCTTATTATATAATTTATTATTTTATCTCTAGTAATCAATTTTAAAATTAAAAACAATAAGAATTGGGGTAATGCTAAAAAACGGGTGAAGGATAGCATTGAATAAAGTTAATAATATAATAGTGTATAGCCAAGTAATGTAGCACAACCAATTTTTTTTCTTTTCTCTTTTTTAATTGGTCTCTCCAATTTTCAAGCGTGGGCAATCTAACCTAATTTGTATATGTGGGAAATATAATGCATACCAAAAAATTTTATATCAATAAATCATCATCTTAACTTCCTATAATTTAGTTTTTTTAAAAGCTTCATAAATATAACTTAATAATGAGTAGTTTTCTATATTTAGTTTTCAATCATAAGATATTTCATAAATAGTCACTAATTAGTGGAGAATATACATAAAATAGTCCGATGAGGAGTCGGGTTAAAATATTTTTGAGAAATTTCGCGAAATTTATTTTTTTGTAATAAGGTATTTTCCAAAAGTAATTTTATCATGAAAACATGACTAACGCATTTCTTTATATTTGAGATATGTTTCCTAATTACTCTCTTATATTTGATCTCGCGTTTTCTAGATTTTTTTATGAATGAGATCTATTTTCCACTATAAGGACAATAGAGTTAAAAATTTGAGTACTTATTTGATGGATATCGGGTCTGGTAGACCCGACTCCAGGCCCAAATAAAGGCCCATAATAGCCTAAAAGGTATAAGATCAGATGGAGTTAACGGGCCAAGCCCGTTATTACGCATACAGCAGATAGAGAAAGACGGTTCAGTCATGGAATAAATTAAGGTGATCCAGTCCAAGAAAGGAGTGGGACACGTGGCCCACGTCATTGGGTCATAGACGAAGTGGGCAGAGAACGAGACCGGAAAAGAGGGAATCACAACCCCACGATCTCCATAATCCTTTCCATTTTGTACAATTTTAATTATAATATTAAAGATACTATAAAAAGGGGGAGAACCCGCCATTGTAAAGGAAAAAGAATTCAATACTCAATCAAAGAATATTAACAAGTGATTATAACTTTCTGATTCATATTACGTTCTTGGTCCGCCATCTGATCGGGTTAATCCCATCATTGGTGCTTTCATTGAGAGATATAATAACTGTGAGATAAGGCTGTGAGATTATGGCCGGACGAAGGACGAGACGTAACACTACTACTTCCGCCCAGTCGACTCTTCCAGGTCCATCTGGTACCAGGGATATCCCTGCCGGGCAACCCCGCCAGGTCCTGCGTACTGCGAGTTCTCCTATCCTCTAGGAGCTTCATGATCCGGAGGAGGTTGAAAGGGAGAGACAAGCCATTGCCAGACGCTGGGCGGAGGAATTGGCCCGGAATAGTAAGGTGAATGAAGGCCGGGCTAAGGATGCAAGTCGGATCGTCGGCGATGGAAACGAAAACCCGCGGGGATCTGTCTTTGAAAGGATATCTCGCTGAAAAGCTCACGTTAGTGAGAGGCTGGGGAAGAATCCGGATAAGGCACCCTAGGGTTGGATACGACCCCGGGCCAGCCAGGTGGCATCTTCTAACCGCAAACCCCGGCAGCGAAACGGCCGTGGTGGGAGCGAAGCGCTGGTCCGGTCATTAGTGGATTTGGAGGAGGACGAAGTTCAAAGCCAAGCCAGGGTCCCAGCACCACGGTGTCTGGGGCCGCCGGTACCGGAAGCTGGTGAATTCCAAGATCTGAGGCAGCAGATCCAGGAGATGCAAAGGAAGATAAACAAGGGTCGAGTATTCACTACCCATACGAATACTCCCTTAGCCCCGGAGATCTTTGTGGAACCATATCTGCAGGGATTCAAAATGCCATTTGTTAAGCGTTATGATGGGGAGTCGGATCCCCAGGAACACATAAACAGCTATGTCCAGGTGATGATTGCCGTAGACTCCAGTGACGCACTCATGTGCCGGTGCTTCTTGCAGACAGTTAATAGCAAGGTCGCGGATTGGGTCAACCATATTCCTGCCGGATCAATCCGGACATGGGATGAATTGGGATTGCGGTTCCTAGAGCATTTTGCCGGGAACTTCCGTCCCAAGAAGCATTTCACTCACTTGGCTTCAGTGCGACAGAAGCATGGAGAATCCTTGAAGAATTTCCTTATCCGATGGAGGAAAGAGTCCAGGGAGGTTGAAGGAACCGATGACAAATCCAGGTTGGCCATGTTCACAGCGGCATTACAGGATGGACTCCTTCACACCGATCTTACAACTCATCCCCCGGATACCTTCGACGAAGCAATGGTCCGGGCGGGGAGGTATGTGACCCTGTAGGAGAGAAAGGAGGGGAAGAAAGAGAAGACTCCTAAAGAAGAGGAGAAGACGGGAAATAAGAAGCCGTTCAAGAATAAGAAGCAAGGCTTCCCGGATGGCCCAAAGGGCGCAAGTCCTGGGACCTCGAAGAAGCATAAATCTGCCAATCCAATCTTCACATTGCCGGTGACTGAGGTCATGGCCCACGCTGCACAGCAGGGACTCATGACTTACCCAACCTATTCTCAGAAGGTCTGCAATGTGGAAGACACTGGAAAATGGTGTGCTTACCTTCGCAAGAATGATCACAACACGGAAGATTGCTATACTCTGAAGAATGAGATGGCAAGGCTAATTCGCCGGGGTCATCTGAAGAAGTTCGTACAAGATGGTGACGCGGGAAATCCCGGGAATGCTAAAAATGGAAAGCGCAGAGATAAAGAAGTGGCCCAGGCTGAGGCCCGGGAGAAACACTTCCCTCCTTCCTTGTTTCCCCACCTGGGCCGTGCATAACCCACCAAAACCCACCATAAAAGAATCCCCATTTCCAACCAAATAAGTGAGTCTCATTTTCCACCCCTCACTCCCCACACCAGGCCGAAACACCCTACCCCACAACCTCACCCTTCTTCCTTCTTTTTATTCCATTAAAATAAGTGGACATTATTCCCCGAATAAGTGAATGTACTAGGAAGCTTCCCTCTCCCCCTGGTGTGCTTATATATATCTCGGCCATAGGCCATTGTAACAGACATCTTTGAATATTAAAATCCCTATTACTCTTTGAGTATTAATAAAATAGTGTGATGCTATTTTAGCCAAATTCCTAATTCTATATCTTAAGAGTGGTTATCTTAAGTGTGAGTTTTAGGTTCTAGATATTTGATTAAGTGTGTCATATCTTAATTAAATTCTAGATTCAAACCCCAAGTGAGGATAAGAGTGTGTAATATTTCTTAAACACCAACTTGGTTTATCCATCCCTGATTTTCTTCCATTTCATACCTCCCCATATTCTCTTCCTAAACCTCTTCTTTTTCTTCATAAAAAAACACCAAAAAGAACTCCAAAAAACACCTCCCATATTTCGCCCCATATACTTTTGTGTTCATTTCCTCCACAAATTCACACAAAATTAGCAATTTGATAAGACCCCCCGTTTCACCCCTAACATTTGGTATCAGAGCTTTGTGTTGAACATCCCTAAGGGATAATCTGCACACGCCTCCCTCATCTCTTTTGTTACTGTCAACCACACACTCTTCAAGCGATATTATCCACCATGCCAAGCTCTCCTCAAAACATGTTTCAAGGTGAATTAGCTGCTGCCCAGGAGAAACTAAAGAAGGAAGTTGAGCTTATGATGAAACAAATCCAGGAGCTCACTAATTCAGTGGAGATTCCCACGTTTGAAGGAAGAAACGACCCGGAGAAGTTCTCAAAGTGGTTAGCAAAAGTTGAAGACGTCTTTATACTCAAAGACGTACCCGAAGACAAGAGGGTCAAGCTAGTGGTGGCAAAGTTTCAAAGACATGCCTCTACATGGTGGGCAAGCGTTGCTTCAAAACGAAAGCTCCAAGGCAAGGCTAAGGTGAGAACTTGGGAAAAGTTCAGAAAACTCTTAGTTAAGAGATTTTGTTCTAATGATCATATACACCAGGTACCTAAAACTACTCTCCCTTTTTTACCTAAAACTCTTTCTCAAGTCATACCACCTTCTCCACAACGAAAGCCACCCCATACCACCCTCTCTCCCCCAACCTTAATCACCTCTAAATCCCCCTTCATCCAGCACCCCTGGCATCCAGAATATCTCTCACCCAACTCCTTATCGTCTACACAAAAATCCAACTCAAGCCACCCCGTTACCTTCCTTAGTCACTGCCCCGATTCACCCCAGCAGCCGTCTCCACACATCTGACCCAAAACCCTTCAAACCCCATCTATATTTCATCCCAAGCTGCTATCCAAACAAATCCCAACACCCCCTCCATGACCCAGCCTCTAAACTCTCCTACAACCATGCCTATAACTCCTCCACAAACGGTCCTTACCAGTCCCACACCTACCCCTACACACCCACTTGAAAATTCATCTAAACCCATTCCTTTACCCTGCAAAAACACTGTCCAAAGCACTCTAAAAGCCTCCCCCATCCTCACAGTCCAAAGTCCTCCCAAAACCATAACCTCCTCTCAAAATGACATGGTCCCAATCCCAGAAAAATCCAGCTCCACTGTCCCAAAGAAACCCCATTGCTTCCACTCACAAAAGATTGGTAATCATGCTTTTGAGTGTCCAAGTAAAAACCCGAAGTCCTTGGTCCAAAGTGAAGAGAAATCAGAGCTTTTGGGACGAAAGGAAGGACAAGATGATGTTAAATCTCTAGGCCAAGGTAAAGGTGAAATGGTGGTCATTATAAGACCATTGAGTAGTTTGACTGATCAAAATAAACTTGGAATCAAACCCCTCTTGAAATCCTGTTCCATTGAATGGCTCAACCACGGAAGAGAACTACGAGTGGAATTGCGTAGTTTTTCTTTATTCCATATTGACAGGACATGGACACCTAATTTTGTGGATATGCATTCATTGAGAAAAGGTTCACCGGCATGCTTATTCCTACCCCTGACCGCACCTAACCAAGGGATAGAACCCCGGGTTCATCTAAGTTTAGGTGAAAACAAACCCAATGGTGATTTAGAGAAGAAGGATGTTGTTGCCACCAGAGATGAGTTCTTAAGCTGTGGATTTCCTAGCTTAAATATGCAAGTTAATGAGAAGAAGGTTCAACATGGAGCTATGAGCCCAGATGTGGAAGCCTCACCTCAAAGGCTATCTTCACTAACGGCACCTCGTGCCAAATTCGTTAAGTTTTTGAAGGTTCCATGTGAAGAAGAAACTAACAAGTTTTATCATAAGACTCGTAAAAAGCTTATGAAGAGAGAGTTAAAAGGTTCCATCCACTATCAGCCTGGAGACCTAGTGTGGGTCCATGTACAAAGAGAGCGTTTCTCTGCAAAACGCAAGGCAAAACTTCAACCTCGAGATGATGGTCCATTTGAAGTGGTATCCAAGATCATTAACAATGCCTACAAGGTCAACCTTCCAGGAGACTACGGAGTATCGGCCACATTCAATATCAAAGATATCAGCCCGTACTTCGAGCCTGAGGAACTGCCGAGTTTGAGGACAAACTCTTCTGAAGAAGGGGAGGATGATATACCCCAGACCACCAACAACGATCCTCAAGTCCTTAAACAAATCTGTGGAATAATGTCCAAGTGTTTTAATCCTTTTTGGAATGAATACATCACCCATAAACCATACAACCCGACCCTGGTCCTGTTGGACCTTCCCCCACCTTGATGGCCGGAAGTACCACCCAAAACCACCCCTCCCAAATATCCAAATCAAACCCAAGTCCCTTCCTTTTTTTTACCTTGGTCGAACCCACACACTCCCACAACACCTCATCACACTTCAAACCACATGCTAAATCCACAAACCCTTTTCTTTTCCCTGGAATGGCCGAAAACTAGGAGCCAAAACCCAACCCATTATTTCTCCAATGTGTACTAGCAGTGGTCCCCTTGTGTTCCCCCAACCAAGCTGAATAAACAACCATAACAGGCCAAGAACAATTCAGCATATATTGGCTCTTAATTCATCAAGAAAACCCAACTCATAAGAAGCCAAAAAACCTGCCAAAAAACCTCTTTCCTTGTTTCCCCACCTGGGCCGTGCATAACCCACCAAAACCCACCATAAAAGAATCCGCATTTCCAACCAAATAAGTGAGTCTCATTTTCCACCCCTCACTCCACACACCAGGCCGAAACACCCTACCCCACAACCTCACCCTTCTTCCTTGTTTTTATTCCATTAAAATAAGTAGACATTATTCCCCAAATAAGTGAATGTACTAGGAAGCTTCCCTCTCCCCCTGGTGTGCTTTTATATATCTCGCCATAGGCCATTGTAACAGACATCTTTGAATATTAAAATCCCTATTACTCTTTGAGTATTAATAAAATAGTGTGATGCTATTTTAGCCAAATTCCTAATTCTATATCTTAAGAGTGGTTATCTTAAGTGTGAGTTTTAGGTTCTAGATATTTGATTAAGTGTGTCACATCTTAATTAAATTCTAGATTCAAACCCCAAGTGAGGATAAGAGTGTGTAATATTTCTTAAACACCAACTTGGTTTATCCATCCCTGATTTTCTTCCATTTCATACCTCCCCATATTCTCTTCCTAAACCTCTTCTTTTTCTTCATAAAAAAACACCAAAAAGAACTCCAAAAAACACTTCCCATATTTCGCCCCATATACTTCTGTGTTCATTTCCTCCACAAATTCACACAAAATTAGCAATTTGATAAGACCCCCCGTTTCACCCCTAACATTTGGTATCAGAGCT